AAGCAACCCACCACTGCCACAACAACCTCCAGCCTTACTCCGTGCACCCCGGACTCACTCCCTGTCTCTGTGGCACAAGCCAATGGCAGGGGCTTCCATACCACTCCCCGCCCCCCCGCCCCTCAAGGCAGAGAGGCCAGCTGTGCAGGTTGACAGATTCAGGCCACAGAGGCTGCTGGGAGGGCACTTTTGCCCCCGGTGGGCATGGATAGAAAGGAAGAGAGAGCTGCGCCCCTGGACTGACACCCCCCGGGGCCCATCCCAATCAGCTTCGGAGAGCCTCCTACTCTGGCCTGGAAGCTGCATTTGAGGGCTCCTCAATCCTCAAGGGGCTGGGGAAGGCTCTGGCTCCAAAGCCCTGTAGACCTGGGTTCAAATTCCAGCACTGCTGCTGACTAACTGAATGGCCCTGAGCCTTCAACTCTCTGACCCTCGGTTTCCTCATCTGCAGTGTGGTTCTGTGGGCCTGGGGCCTGTGAGTGGCTGGCAGGAGGGAACACAGGTGAAAAAGTCCATACAGCCCCTGGCATGGGGGGAGCGGCACAGGGGTGCAGGCAGAGAGGGGTGACCTTTCTCCCCATCAGCAGCTCTGCCTCTTGCTTTCATGCTCAGTCAACCTCTGGGCAGAACTGACAGGGTGGCCACCAGCCACTGCCCACTGCCACAGTGGCCTTCCTCTTTGGTCCACTGACTTTAGGAAGCAAAGTCCTTCTCCAAGGACTGCCCCTCCGAAGAACAAGTCCAAAGGACGAGAGGGGAAGTCGTCTTACCTCCTGGAGGCCTTTGTCTCCAGCCTGTCCTCACGCGCCCCCGCCCCCCCCTTCGAGCCAAATCAAGACCCTAGCCCTGGGGCCTGGCCCAACCCAGACACTTAAGGAAAGCCAGCCTGCCGGCTTCAGGGAGGCCCTGTGGGAGCTCAGGCCCAGCCCCACCCTTTCCAGAAACCTAGGAGGGGAAGCCACCCAATGAGCCAGTTCTGCTCCCTCCATCCCAGCAGTGGCACCTGGGCAAACCACCGGTGAGCAGCCTGTCCAGGCCAGCAAGGCTCCCCAGCCCCCATAGCCTGCTCCAGAAGAAGGCCAAACCCTGGAACTAGGGGGGAAGTACCCCCTAGGGCAGGGGTCCTCAAACTATGACCCACGGCCACATGCGGCCTGCCCAAGACATTTATCCGGCCCGCCGGGTGTTTTTGCCGCCACTGCCAGTCCTGCTTAGCAGCCGACTCGTCCAGTGTGCACAGGACTTTGTTCATAGTTTTTTTTTAAACCATAGTCCGGCTCTCCAACAGTCTGAGGGACAGTGAACTGGCCCCCTGTTTTAAAAGTTTGAGAACCCCTGCCCTAGGGGCTCTAAAGATCCCCACTCAGGAAGGGGACAGCTCAACCCAGCGCTGGGGAACTCTGAGCTCACACCGTGTGAGTGGGAGGCACCGTAAAAATGCCAACAGGAGGGGCTGACATGTATTACCAATGAGCCCTGGGCACAGTGGAGGAAGCACTCTGCTATTAACTGGAAGGTTGGCGGTTTGAACCCACCAGCCACTCCAGAGGAGAAAGATGAAGCTGTGTGCTTCCATTATGAGCTGCAGCCCGGGAAACCACGGGGGCAGTCCTTGTCTGGGTGGTTATGAGTTAGAATTGACTCCCTGGCAGTGGGTTTTGGCTATTTTGTTTTTAAACATGTATTGCACACGTGCTATTGACTAAGTGGGAGACAGACGGGGCTTTCGACGCCAGTAACGAGTTATAGTCTCGGAAACTCTCAAGGGCAGTTCTACTCTATCCTGCAGGGTCTCTAAGAGTCCGCATCGACTATGGCAGTGAGTTTGATTGTTGGTTTCTGGACTCACTAATAAGCGCCATTTAATGCCCAGTGTTTAGATGAGCTGTTTGAGGCACAGGAATCCCTGAGTGGAAAAGGAGTTCAGCGCCCTCAACTACGGTCCAAAAGATTGGCGGATTGACTCGCCCACGGAGAGGAGGCTCCGCGCACAGGTCTGGTGATCCATCCATCAGTCTCCGCAGTAAACCCTATGTAGGGAGCAGTTCCGCTCTACACCGCTGGGAGCGCTGGGGCGCAACCCGCTCGCCAGCAACCAGCAAGCACCTGCAACTTGTAAGCTGAAGCTCAGAGGAAAGGAGACTTCAGATTGGGGTAAGAGGGAGGGATCTTCAGCGGGAAGTCCTGGCTCTAGGGGCCAGTAAGCCTCAGGGGATCCCCTGCCCTCTCCTGACCTTTCCACCTCTAATGTGGGCTTCGTAGGTGCCCCCTCTACTAAGATAAGAGTCCAGCCTGTTTAGAGGTCAGACCGCCGGAGTGGGGATGAGCTCCGTGGACGTGCTGTCCGCATGGAGACGAAGCCCTGCCTGGTTGGCGGAGGGGATGCGTCACCATCTCTGTGCTCTGTGAGTGGGACTGAGCGGAGCTGGAGAGGCCGTGCACACTGTGCACCTGGGGCCCTCAGAGAGCCCCGGCAGTCAGGGTTTTTGCATAAATCGCCTGTCGAGGTGGACACAGGGCACCCAGCCGTACCCCCTGGATGATCCAGGAGCCCCTGCCAGCTTGTAGTGCACCCTCAGGACCTGGTCCTGCACAGAGAAGCCAAGGGAGGGTGTTAGCTTGGGAAGAGGCCAATGCAGCTCCCAGGGCCTTGTGGGTAGGTGGCCCTAGGGGACAGAGTGGACCTGTCCCCTCGGATGTCCAGCGTGGCCATCTGTACAGAAGCAGACAGCCACATCTTCCTCCTAGGTCTAAACAGTTGGCCGTTTGTTAGCCGCCCAGTGCTTGACCGCTGCCCTCTGGGACTCCAGTCAGCATCCCTGTTCAGGAAGCTGCAATTTTTTCCCCCCCTCACATCCTGGAGAGAGCTGGGGTCCAGGAGGTGCTGGCTGGAATGTTGGACTTAGAAGCACTCCCTGGGGAGTATGGAGTGGAGACCCAAAGCCCATTAGTAGGCCACTGGAGATCCCCTTGCAGAGGGGTCTCGGGGAGGAGATGAGCCAGTCAGGGTGCGATGTAACAATGATGAAAAATACAACTCTCCTCTAGTTCCTAAATGTTTCCTCCCCGCTCCCACTACCATGACTCGAATTCTACCTTGCAAGTCTGGCTAGACCAGAGGATGTACACTGTTACAGATAGGAACTGAAAATCCAGGGAATCCAGGGCGGATGAGCCCTACAGGACCAGTGGTGTGAGAGGCGATACTGGGAGGGTAAAGGGAGAATGGGTAGGAAAGAGGGAACCCATTACAAGGAACTATATGTGACCTCCTCCCTGGGGGATGGACAACAGAAAAGTGGGTGAAGGGAGACGTTGGACAGGGCAAGATATGACAAAATAACAATTTATAAACTATCAAGGGCTCATGAGGGAGGGAGGAGCATGGAGGGAGGGGAAAAATGAGGACCTAATGCCAGGGGGTTAAGTGGAGAGGAAATGTTTTGAGAATGATGAGGGCAATGAATGTACAAATGTGCTTTACACAATTGATGTGTGTATGGATTGTGATAAGAGCTGTATGAGCCCCTGATAAAATGATTTTTTTAAAAAGAAGAAGAAGCACTCCTGTCTGTGCTGGTGGCCCGATGTCCCCTTGCACTCTCCTCAAGCCCCTCCCTTACAAAGAAGTGCTTCTGGACTTGGGGCCAGTGATTCAGGGGCAGTGACTCTAAAGACCTTCCTTGAACCCCTGCTGACTTCAGGGGAGGCCCAGGGTTGGGTGGCATGGACTATGTGGCATGCCTGGCACGGGCATCTGTTTAAAGGAGGGACGGACCACATCTGCTAGAACAGAGAGAGGACTGTGGGGACTCAGCTGGGAGAGGAGGAGGAAGGCTCAGGACGCCCTAGTGCTCCAGGGAGACACTGAGGCACGGGGTGGAGCCTCACAGGGAGTTGCTGAAGGTGGGAGACTCCTGGTGTCCCCATTCTCTGGGCTTCCCACCCCCTCCCCACTCAGGCGGCGGGGCTGCAGTACCCGCCGCATTCTGGGAAGAGGGGCTGACATCACTGCTATGGAGCAAACTGGGGAGGGTGGGGCTGGGTGGTGGGCCTCCCAGAGACCAAGGTGAGAGCTCTTTCTGGGCCTGAGCCTCTGCCCCCTGCCCCTCGTCCACTGTGGGGCACTTACTGAGGGGCCTTCTAGTGCCCCCAATCGATACCCAGCTCTACAGAGGCACTGTGCCGGCCCGGCTGTTCCTCCTGCCAGGCCTGACCCTATCTCCTGGCCTCCTCTTCCCCTCTCCCCTGCAAGGGGTGCCCTTGACTCTGCTTCCCAGCAGGGGTGCCAGCAGGAGTGCCCTTGACTCTGCTTCCCAGCACCCTGTCCCTCCCCTGCCGTCCCTGAACTGAGACCTCTGTCTCTCCCAAAGGGTGGTGAGCTCCACAGGACAGGCTTGCCTCTCTCACCCACAGCACCCACGGGCAATTGCTCAGCACAGAGTGGTGCTGTGTTTACAGAATGAATGAGAACTATGTGGGGCCAAGTGCCGCCCAGTTACCCACGGGTGTGTCCCCTTGTCCTCTCTTCACTACCCTGTGTCCTCTTCTGTTCAAGGACCCCCGCAGTCCCTGGGGCTCCTGGCTCAAGCTCTAAGAGGACACGCTGATGACAGGCAGCCAGATGAGCTCGGGCCTCGGCAGCACAGCCCAAGAAGCTGCCCGACATCCCTGGCCCTACTCCCTGCCTCAGGCCTCCCTCGCTCTCAGACTCCGAGTCTGAGTGACCTGGCCAGGCAGAGGAAAGAGTCCTGCATTGTTCCCCAGCAGTGACTCACCCGGACAGGGCATCTTCATCTGGCTGGGCTGGCACGCCCAGGGCCCTGCTCCTGGTGATTCACAGCAACTGGACTGACAGTGCTCTCAGACTGGGGCCCCCTCCTCTGCTGTGAGAAAGTGCACATGCCTCCTGGGCCATCGCCCCCTCCCCTCAGGATGCCCCATTGAAGGTGCCCCTTCAATGTCCCGCCCCCATTGAAAAGAACAGGGCAGAAATTCTATTTGATGTGTGCTGGCTTTTTATTGGGGGCATGGGAGTGGAGTATGGGGCAGGGCATGCGTGGCCGCTTCCAGCTTCTGGCTTCCAGACAGAATCAGGCCTGTGGCCCCAGGAGCTGGGTGCGTGAAGCGTAAGGAGCAGGTCCTTGGCAAAGGGGCGGGGGGTGGGGGGGGGGGCTCTATTTCCAGCGCCCGGTGACTTTGGTCTTCCCTCGGGTCTTGGAGCTGCAGGGAAGAGGACCAGTCAGACGGGGACATGGGTGGAGTAGCAGGGCTCTGGAGTGAGGGGCTGCTGGGGGCCACAAGCAGCCAGGGAGTCAGAACAGGGCTGCTGGCCCAGGCAGTGGGGAGAAGGGGCTCTGTGAGGAAGCCTAAGGAGACAGCTATGAGCCAAAAGAGAAGAAGGCGGCGGGGGAGCCCCCAGGGCTCAGAGGAACTGTGGGGTGGCCAGGGAGAGATGGACTCTGAGACTCACACTTTCTGGTTGTCGTTGATCCTGTTTCGGAGCACATTGATCTGCAGGGGAGGTGGGAGACAGAAGAGCAGGGTTGGGGCATGCTGGGCCCAGGCCCCAGCTGGCTGAGAGGAGAAGAAGGGGGTGGGCATGTGGGAGGGCAATGCTATGAGTCTGGAACAGTTAGGGGTCAAGAGGGGCCCAGTCCTTGGAGGAAGAAGCCAAGGAGAGGCTATGTGGGCCGCTCACTCCCAGGGTCTCAGGTTCACTGCAGCCTGGGGGTGAGGTCCCTTGCGGTGGGCTTCCCGGGAGCTGGGAACAAACAAGGCTGTCCTGGACAAGTGTGTACTGCCTCAGCCCAGCCTGAGAGCTCTCTCTCCAGCCCCAGCCTCACTATCCACCAGCTCAGAATGCAGCACCCCCGCTCCCTGCCCCCCCCTCCCAGCGCCCTGCAGCACAGCTCCACAGGCCAGAGGCAGGGCACAGCACGGAGCCAGAGGTGAGGTGCTGCGCACTGAGACCACGGCTCCCACCGTGCAGCACTTAGCAGGCCCCAGGCTGTCCAACACACATCCCCAAACACCCAGTGATAACCCCTGGGACTGCAGTGCAGGCTCAGTGCGTTGGTCCATGTGGGGTGCTCAGAACAGGGCCTGGAACACACACACTGGCTATTACTGTTAGCATCTATCCTCTATCATCATCACCCTCTCTGCCATCCTCACCATGGCCCTGGGTCACGCACTGGGCAGCGAGTCAAATGCTGAAAGTCTGAGCCCACCCAGCAGCACCTCAGAAGAAAGGCCTGGTGATCTACACCACCACCCCCAAATCAGCCACTGGAAACCCTAGGATACAGTTCTACTTCGACATGTATGGGGTCACCATGAGTGGGGGTTGATGTCACAGCAACTGGTTTTATCCTCACAAGAAGCCCGTGAGGGAGCTCCTACTGTTATGCAGGGGTGGTGGCAATAGGGAGACCCAGGAAAGTGAAGTGGCTTTGCCACCCAGCCAGCAAGCAGCAGAGCCGGAAGTTAGACCTTGTGGCTCCTGAGTTCTCCCTCCTTGTGACCACACAATGCAGCCTGCCTCAGAACTTCAGGGACAGCCACGGTGTCGCCTTGGACCAGGAAGTGAGGTGTGGCAGGGACAACGAAGCATCCCCTCCAGGAAGGATTCAGCTTTCCTTGGTCAGCTGAGGCCAGTGGGCAGGGCTAGCCTCTGGGCCTGAGCATGTCCTGCAGGAGCAGTGTGGGCTCCACTCCCACCTCGTGTGGTGTCAGCACACCCGCAACCCCCATCCATGCTCCCGGGACCCTGCAAGGCCCTGTGTACACTGGGGGGAGTAGCTACATCTCTGGGGGTCCTCTCTGCCGGGGCTCAGTGCCTCCGGGTCCCCTACCCAGCTCAGGCCCTGTGAGCTGCTACCCCTGTCTCCAGGGATGCCTGGATGGGGCAGAGAAAGGCACGGCTGTAGCCCTAGGGAAAAGTCTACTCAAGCCCAGCCCACCAGGCACACTTGGCCAGCCAACCAGTGGGCACCAAACAGGGACAGGGTGCTGAGAAAGGGACGGGGCATGAGAGAGACCCCGTTAAACCAGGAGGAGCCAGTGGGGCAGGGGCGGAGAGGGGCAGCATCCACTCACCTCATATTTCTGCTGCTTGAACTTCTCCTGCAGGTCAAACTTCTCCGCCTCCAGCGTGTAGATGCTCTGCCACAATTCCTTGGCCTTCTCCCTACCCGGGCCCAGAGGGGCAATAAGGAAAGGCTTCCCCGTCCACCTTCATCCTGATCCCTGCCCTAGCCCCCCACCCCTCACCCCTGAGGACTGGCCCAGCCTGGGGACGGACGCCAGCACCTGCCAGCACAAAGTTCTGGGCATGGGGAAGGAGAGGGGGGCACAGCAGAGCCCCCTTTCCGCCCCCACTGTGCAGGAGGGGAGGTTTCCTTAAGCCCAGGGTAGCGCCAGCCCAGTGCCAAGGTTCCTGGGCAGTGTGTGGAGCAGTAGCACCCCCTGGTGGTTGCAATGAGAACATGCTCTTTGCCCTGACTCCTCCCAGGGTGGTGAGGAAGCTACTGGACCTCTGGAGGACCGCTGGTCCACCACCCACCTCAGTTGATCTTCATTCAGGTGGTCGATGGCCAACACCTTCCTCCTCTCGGCCAGAATCTTTTTCTTCTTCTCCCGCTCCGTCTGCCGCTTCCCACTCTTCCGCTCCGTCTGGACAAGGCGGTGCAAGCAGGGGGAGATGGTTGGAGACCCCTCCCTCCTCCTTCCCAAGCCCTCCCAAACCCCACGGGGAGAAGGACCTTGTTTCTGCAAACCACCCACCGCGCACGCACACACACATACACACACACACAGACTGTCTGGATTCCACAGAGACCAGAAGGGTCATTTCCCATTTCTCCCCAGGCTCCCTCCTCCCTCCCAGCCCAATCTCCACCCTCCTCCCCTGCAGCCAGGCGCTTTCCCTCCAAGGATGCTCCCCAAAACTACAGGGGGTGGCGAAGCAGGTTTGAGATGTCCGTACCCACCTGGGCCTGCAAAGCCAGGAAACCATGAGAGAAAGACCCAGAGAGAAAGACCGAGCCCAGGCAGGACAGACACACAGAGAGGGCAGAGACAGGGGCACAGGAGACACGGGAGGGAAGGAGAAGATGGTTCAGATGCTCACAGCATCGGCCATGTTTGTTCGGACAGGAGTCTAGGGCTGGGGGATGGGGGCAGGGACTATTTGGCAGCAGGGCCATGCTCGAGACTTGGGGGTCACTGTGGGCACAGAGATGAGAAGGCTGGTCTGATTCTCGGCTGGGGGCTTTGGAATCTAAGGAAATGCTCTAGTCTTCCCGTGATCAAGAAAACCCATTTCACTCGCCCTTCCTCCCTGGCCTGTGGCGTATCTGGTGGGAGCACCAAACCAAACCAAACCAAACCAAACCAAACCAAACCAAACCAAACCAAACCAAACTGCCCTCGGGTCCATTCCGACTCACAGTGGCCGGATCGGGCAGGCTAGAACTGGCCCTGTGGGTTTCCAAGCGTGCACATTTTTACAGGGGTAGAAAGCTTCATCTTTCTCCTACGGAGTGGCTAGTGTGTTCCCAGGAATAAACATGACCTCCTAGCGTAGCATGTCAGTGCTTTTCCTGTTAGCTCATCTGAGCTTCTCAAAGCAGGCAGGGCAGGCAGTAGTCAACCCATTTTACAGATGAAGAAACTGAGGTTCAGGGAGGTTGCATAAAGTGGAGCTGGGTCTCTAGTCAGAGCACTGACTCTAGACACCGGCCACGTCCAGGTGCCCCTGGCCACTGAGGGGATCCCTGGGCCCAGGGTAGGTGAGGGTGAGAGCCTAGCAGGCCCCTCCTGTGGGTGCCACCGCCAGGCTGAGAGCCAGTTCAAGCTGGGCAAGAAAAGCCCCCCGGCCTCCCTCCCACAGCAGCTGGGAAGTTCCTCCTGGGAGCCAGCACCTCCTGGAGACCACTGCTGCTCCCTTGCCTACCTTCTGGATGTATCCTCCAAAATGCATCATGTTGGACAAAGCCTTCTTCTTCCGGGCCTCATCCTCAGCCTTCTTCCTGTTCTCCTCCTCCTCTCGCCGGGCCCTCTCTTCCTGATTTTGGGGGGAGAGGGCAGCACACCTTGATTCTGAAGCTGGTGATCTTTACAGGAGGGCTGAGCTTTCTCCTTGCTGGACAAGGGGCTTCCCAAGAGTATAAGATGTGCTTGGATGGATGGATGGATGGATGGATGGATGGATGGATGGATGGATAGATAGGTGGGTGAGTAGATAGATGGTTGGGTGGATGGATGGATGGATGGATGGATGGATGGATGGATGGATGAGTGGATGGATGGGTGGGTAGATGGGTGGATGGATGGATGG